AGAGGAGGGGGGATGGTGGATGTGAACTCATGGGGGGGTGGAGGGAGACAGGGAAGGGAATAGATGAAGCAGAGAAAGGACAGGAACGAGAGAAACGAGAGGAACGAAAGAAAGGCGCACGACGAAGTCTCCGCTGTTGTCCTATACTCCATGATCCTCCTTAGTTTTCTCTTCGGTGCAGGATTAGTATCTCCGCCAGCAAGCAGCGCCCAGCGCGTAGAGAAGGCAGCAGCAGCTTGTGAGAAGCAAGGTCAAGAAGCAGATGGTGCCACCAATAAGGGCTGTGAAGTGCTTGGATGAGGAGCACAAGTACACTCGCTCAGAGAGGCAGGCAGCGTGGAGTAGACTGGCGATGGCGAGATTTGGCAGGAGGGTGAGAAGCAGGAGAGAAGCAAGGACGGGGCACAGCGCTTGCATAGCAGAGAGCACGCATGGCATAGCGGGGGACGCAGGGTAGGTCGCATCAGGCTGCATGGCGTTTGGCTGAGGCGTGACTCGGCGATTTAGGATCGAAAGCAAAAGTCAGGACCCGAGGGGAAGTTACTCCCAGGGTGTTACCACTTCCTCCGCGTCCTGCAATTCCTCCTCATCGTCCCAGTCGGTGACAAAATCCATACCGAACGTAACACGCCTGTCCTTCCGCTTGCATAGCAGAGAGCACGCATGGCATACCGGGGGATGCAGAGTAGGTCGCATCAGGCTGCATGGCGTTTGGCTGAGGCGCGACTCGACGATTTAGGATCGAAAGCAAAAGTCAGGACCCGAGGGGAAGTTACTCCCGGGGCGTTACCACTTCCTCCGCGTCCTGCAATTCCTCCTCATCGTCCCAGTCGGCAACAAAATCCATACCGAATGTAACCCGCCTGTCCTTCCGCAAAGCAACAATCGCCGCGAAGCAAAACCGGATCGTACCGCGTCACAACCGATGTCAGACCCAGTTGCTACACGGTGGTCCGATGAATAGTCTCGTACATGCCGTGCCTAATATAGTTCCCGTTCTACCCCCAAATAGTGCTCTTCTGATGGAAGTCATCGCCCTCTCCCATTCAGCAGATGTACTAATCTAATGGTCACAAAAAAAGGGAAAAAAAAAAGAAAAAAGAAAAAAGTATAGTAAGGAAGCGCCGCCAGATTCAAGTCTGAGTTTTCACAGCCTAACAGAGGGGTTCTCCTGGTTCTTGTTTACTGCGTGGAGGTCTTTCCGTCGGGCAGCGAGTTACTCCCCTTAGTTCGA